AACATTAACAGCCGTAGCAGCAGCAGCCAATACTTTAACTATATAGAGTTTGAGTGATAGTGCTTGAATAAACGAGAAAACGGGTTGTTGTGAAAGATTTTCGAAAGATTAGCGTTGAATAAAGAAAATTGTGCTGTGTTTGAAATGGAGTAAAACGTGTAAAAATTGTGAATGCTGCATTCGTTCGCACTAGATCCGATCTCCAAAGATCGAAGTGTGAGTCAGCTAAATTTAAATTTAGTATGCGTAACACTTTATTTAACAGAACAGAAAGGGACATTGAATAAAAAATGGCGTAGCTCGAAAAGTCATTGAAAAAACTGCAAGTTTAGGCGAATCTGAGCCTTATATACCCGCTGCATGTATTCATTGGCCGATTTAACCCAATTGCAATGCCTTAAACCTAGACTTATGTGTGTTTATTGTATGAACGAATGAGTTATCTAAGTCTATATATATGTAATTGTTATTTCTTTCACTACCCTTTCAGGGTGTCCTAGATCGTCCAAAATGGATGGAAGTGTTTTTTATTGAAATACTTAAAAATATGACCAGCCAAATTGGAGATTCTCCATCTTTTGATGATATTTATTGCCGCCTACTGGTTTCGACCTGATGTGGGTTATACTTTAGACATATAAGTGTTTACTACAGATTCGGATTCAGAGGATAGAAATAAGTACGTTACTTTTGTTTGAAACTTTTTTTCTCGCAAGTGCTTTTTCGACCTTTAATTGAACTTCGACATCCTGGACTTCATGAATGAGTGAAAATGTTTTATTGAAAAAAAAAAAATAAAAATACGAAAGGTCGGGGACGCTCTATATTTTGGATACATATATTGCCGACTTCAGGCAGGCTAGGTAAGGTTGGAGCGGCTTCTTTTATCCAACATAAGAGAGAGGCACGCTCAGAGCCAACGGATACCAATACCAATACAATGGATATCAATTTAGAGCACGAATTCGAATCCGTCCGTTCACCTTGCAGTAGAACTAGTTGTTTAAGTTCAGAAAGCGCGAGAATGCTTCACTTAGGTCGGCGAGACAGACAAAACGGTTGTGGTGAAATCAGCGTCTTCTCGCCCATATTAGGGTAGGACAGTGACATAGGTAGTGCTCCACACTTTCGATTTCGTCCACATTGCGGCAACTACGGCAGAAGTCATTGGCCATCATTACTCATTCAGCTAGCATGTCTTTAAGCAATGGCCCGTAACGCCGTAGGGCGTTCTAACCGAGTAAGTGCGTCGGATGTTTTCTTGTCTAGGCTGCGCCAGATTTGTCGGGTCATGCCACACAAGGGTTCTTCCAACCATCTTTTGTTTATCTTCTCAACGAAGTATGTCATCAAACATGGAGGTTCTCTTCTTAGTAAACTTGTCCACCCCAAAATTACTTTGAATGCCTCTGTGGCCTGGCACTCACACGATGTGAGTAGTAGATCTTGAAGCTAGATCGTTAAGGATTTTCCTACATTATATCGCAGTTATTGGCGAGGTCTTGCAGCAATCCAGTGACTTGTTAGCTGCTTGGCTAGTTACTGATGGCAGCGTAAGAGGAGTTTCAAAAAGCCAGAGTGCAGCCTCTTTTATAGCCGCGAGTTCTGCTTGGAAGACACTGCAGTGGCCTGACAGCCTATAGCAGAGATCTAGTGAGAGTTCCTTGGAGTGTATCCCACTACCTAGTCTTAGATTTCGTTTGGAGCTATCCGTGTAGATGGCTGTGGAGGCTTCGGACCGAGTCGCCCTTCCAGTACGTCCTCGAAGGGATACGAGTGGAGAACTTATTCTCGAGCTCCATCGGTGGGGTAGTATAATATGGGCCCCCAACGTATCGGGTTAGTTGGTTAGAATGTTAGTGTGACCGAATCTGGTGTCTTTCCATTTTGAAAGTGCATTTATTGTTACTGTCTTCCAGTTCGCCTATTGTTAACATAACTTTGGTGGGTGTTGATGGCAGCGCACCGGTGATTAGCATACTTTCCGATGTCCACCGACTGTGACGCCAAAAAAAAAAAACTTTTGGAAACTTTTTCCTGGAATGGACTTTCAGTAATACCATCAAAAGATAGAGCATGCCTGATTTGGTAGTTAATATTTTTGCGTTTGTTAATAAAAAAAAAAACACGTCCCTCCATTTAAGAGTAGGTCAAAATATTTTTTGATTTCAAATTACAAAACAGGGGTATAGTTTTTGCAATATAGAATGATTCTAGGGTGTGAGAACAATAAAATTCCAAATTTACATTTGTTTGAACCCCCTTATATATCTACATACATACGTAAACATACGTTGGTTCCAAAGGGGTAACAAAAAAAAAAAGGTTTCTACATTTTTGGTTAAAAACCGAACCTGTTTGCACTATATTTTTGAAGGCTTATGCTTCTCCAAAAAGAATTGAGGTGGTGCAATAGATATTCAGTCCCCGTTCCAATAGATGTACATATGTATTGGGTACTTGTAATAATTAAAAAAGAAAATCTGAAGATCTATTAATTCTTATTTCCTCTCGTGCATCACTGTGCGGTGCTGAGTGTAGCGGCGCTGTGCGAAGATACTGCTCTTGACACTGAAAAATGCAGAGCGAAGATTTTCACTTAAAAGCCACTGTGAAAATACTACTTATTACTAATAATTTGGCGTTTACACATATGCATGTAAGTGTTTGGCCGAGCTTCTCCTACAACTCGTGCGCCGTGCGCCTTGATGGTGTCACTCACACAAAGGTGAGTGAGGAACCTACAGTTTTACGCTGACTCCGAACGGCGATTAAATTTTTATGAGAAGCTGTTTTTCATGGCAGAAATGCATTGGGAGGTTTGCCATAGCCATCCTTGGGGCCAGCCCTGTTAAGAAAAAATGTTTTTTCTTAATTTTTTTGCGAGATTGCTTTGACCATGGCTTGAACCCGATATGTATATATACTATGTTCAACTCTGACTTTGGAATCAATCTCAATTTGAATTTAGTTGACAGAATTTTTCCCTCATTGCCCTTTCACTGCTTTGCAGGCAAATAAATTGATTTAGACTTCATATAAGAAATCCGTGCGGAATATAAAATCAAAAATACTAACAGAAAAATTAAATACGTCAACACACAAATTAAATATTGTAGCCACCTCACACATACCTACATACATACATACCCTGCAAAAAATGCGACTAATCCGGCATGACTCCGGAAGCTGTAGCAAAGGAACATGCGACTAATACCACTTTTGATCGCTTTATATCCATTGAACTGTTCGTTTCTGTTCGAGCATGTCCTATGAAGAGACTAATTGTTCCCGTTTATACCCGAATGGGTACAAAAAAAAAAATTTAAATAAAAATTTGTGCCAGCCTCGATTCGAACCAGGGTGCTCAGTAGCCGGATTCCAGACTTCGCTGTCGCTAATATTGAGCGCTAAAAATCTCCAAAAGAAGAGCAGGCGCGGCTAACAACATGCAACCGCTAGTTACATACCGATCATACTACCAGCTTTGGTTGATTACACATAGCATCTTTTACTTTTATGTTGCGTGCTTTTTGGCTTCACTGATTTTTATTTAGAGAAATTTTTCCGATGCAAATTTAGCGTGGCGATTATCAGAATTCCACTGCAGGTTTGTTAAGCCAATAAATACTCTCACTACGTGCCATCGCCGCACAAGAAATTTCATTGACTAAGTGCGTACATATCATTAAATTGGTAATAGTACCCGTTAGAGATGAGTCGGCGGGGAGTAACTGATCTCCAATTATACCCCTAAGGCAAGAATGATAGAATACAAGATTGCGCCGATCAGAGAGGATTTTTGAGAATAACTTTTGTGTGACGTCACACTGGTGCAATTGCGAGAGAGAAATGCCAAAACGTGAGCAAGAATGGAAGAAGAAGAAAAAATGATGCAAAGGAAAACGTAAACAAGTTGCACCAGTGTGACGTCATGCAAACAACGATTCTGTCAAATTCGTTAAGAGAGGAATAGCGGTCCGAGATCGGCGCAACCTTTGTATTCTCTCAATCGTGCCCCTAAGGGATGAGTCGAGACTAATTGTACGCTATTAGTACCCGTATGAGGCTTATCTCGATATACTCTCTTTAGAGATTAGTCGCACAATTTTTTGCAGGTTACATCTCCGTTGTCAACATTGTCGCTTCAAATGCTCTAGTGATGCTTTTGCGGTTTCTCAACTCGCTTACTCAATGTAATTTAATTACAAAAGCCAACTAAATATTAATGCTGTGTAATAATAGCAGACAGTCAGGCAGTGTAGAGCCAACAACGCTTAGCCAGACAGGCAGCACACGTACATACATACATAGTGTTGGTAGAAAGCGGCACTGGATACAAATTGTAGAGAGTGTAGACTCAGTGCGCGTGGTGTGGTAAAAATATGAGTAAATGGCAGATTCATGCAAATGTCGAATAGCATTCATTTGGATTATTAATGCATGCATTTAGGCGCACACGCTGCACGATAACTAACTAATTAAGATGAAATTAGTTTGTGACGTGTATGTGCATAGAACTTCTCAGGGTTGTGGTTAATAAATTATGGAATTTTAGGACACAACATAAATATTAGACTGGTTACAAAGGGAGTAGCGAAATGTAATGTTAATAGAATCAAGAGTATACGTTTTTACATTTAAAATGTTATTACTCTTATTCAATATTTATCAGAAGGTTTGAACTAATGCAGTGAAGAAATAAGTGGCTAAAAAAGTAATCATAAATATATATATGTATTAATTTAATAATGACTGAAAATTCTAAAATAAAAAATACATTAGGGCAATTCATATAAACGCGAAAATGCCACGTAACCCAGTAAGCCCCATAAAATTACTTAATTTTGTACAGAAAATCGGTTTATTTACGAGGCTTACGCAGTTAAGAGGCATTTACGCGTTTAGATGAATACCCCGATTGTAAATAAAAAAAAAAAATATGAAACAAGCGTGAGTTAAAAAATTCTTCGTTCAATAGTGTGGTTTATATTTTTTAAAATACACTAAAGTTTTAACTACAGTGCGTCGAGAACTGACTAGAAGTAAAAGCGGCTAATTTCTTGCAGTTTAATTTATATCCAATTGATCATCCAAATTTGAGAATAATTGCGAATATACATATAAAGGAAATACATATTAACGTATGCCGCATATGGTTAATAGGTAAGTAGTATAGATACACTTATTAAGTTAATAATCTCTATCTATATGAAATAAATAAAAATTATTGCAGAATTGTATGATTAAAACATTACCATTAACTACATTTAATTAAACCTTTTGTGTTTTTTTTTTTACACTTGCATTCCTCTGCAAATAATCAAGCTACAAACGATGAAAATCGATGGATAAAAAAACAAGTTGTGAATGATCAAAAGGAAATGTGCAATAATCTTTTGTACGTAATAGGAGTAATGTTACCCATACGCCATATCGTACACGGCCATACACTTACCCTACACTTACATGGCGTATGAGTAACATTTTCACCGTTTGAGTGTGAATTTCGTTAGCCAGTGTGTCCAGATAGGACGATTTAGCGCCAATTTGGCGATTTTTTTTTTGATATTTGCGCGTAAAAATTTAAGAAATCACCTTTGGCGATTTTTTTCCCTTTAAGTTAGTTTTATGTGCGCTATCATGTAAATGCGTCGAAATACGTGATAAGTAGGTTATGAAGTTGTAGCTTTAATTTTGATGTGGCAACACTTTTTATTGTTATCGATTTTGTTGTTGAATATCGAACATTTGCCATTTTAAACCACTATTTGTGACAACTGCCGCTGAATGTGAAACTTGTAATTTCATTTGTGGAAATACCAGATCTCGCCTTATTATAGCTTTTATTTTATTTTTAGCGCTGAGCGCTTAAAACCGAATTGTGCGATTAATCAATTAATATGAGTTATAATAAATTTATTAATTGCGCAGTTTGAATTGGGAAATGTGTTAATAAAATTTTTTTTTAAAGTATGCATATTTTTAAAGAAAATCGTTTGTACATCACTATCATATAGTGATTTGTGTATTTATTATTACCCTGATGGCATTATATTCGTTTCTGGTTTTGAAAGCTATACTATACCAAGATCTCAGTTTTTGAATAAGAGATTTTGTAAGTCAATTTCATGAAATTAAAAATTTGGCGATTTTTGGCGATTTTTTTTTCAGAAATGGCTCTTTTCTTTTTAAAGAAATATAGACAAATATATATATATAAATGCTCAGAATGAATAGAAAAGTCGAGTAAGCCATGTCTGTCCGCCCTTCCGTCCGTCCGTCCGTGTACACGATAACTCGAGCAAAAATTTAGATATCTCAACAAAATTTGGTATGTGGTCTGCGCTTTGCCCAATGTAGGTTGGTATTGAAATTGGGCGAAGTCGGACTGTAACTACGTCCACTTCCCATATAACGATACTTACGAAATATGCAACAAATATGATATTTCAGTAAATATTGGTTCAAATTGTTAAAAGTTACTATGTGAAGTAGAATTTTGATAGAATTTAATATTAATATGAAATTTTTGGAAAAGCGGCGAGACCCCGCCAACATATGATGAAATGCTGTATCTCAGTAGCTGCTTCACAAATCCTTACAAACCTCGTTACGAGCCTTGATTGAGATCCAGCTAAGAAATTTGTTTAAAATCTTTGGAATCGGACCATAACCCCGCCTACCTACCTACCATATAACGGTAATTTACAGAGCCACGAAAACTGCGATAAATCAATAACTGCCGAAGCTTAAAATAGATGACTACGACAACCACTTAGCAGAAAATTTGATTAGTAAAAATTTTTTGATAATGGGCGTGGCGCCGCGCTCTTATGACCATAAATGTGTAACTCGGTAACCCTAACCGATTTATCAATTTCTACAAAACTCAGTGCACTTAATAACCTTAGCACCGAAAATCAATTCGTTGAAAATTATTCAAATCAAACTAAAATTGCACCCGCTTCCCGTATAACGGTAAATTTCAGAAAAACTAAAACTCCGATATTTTAGTAACTGAGCACACTAATTTACTCCAAGTTAATAGTTACAACAATCCCCTAACAATAAATAAGACTGCTTTAAAATTTTAGGAATTGGGCGTGGCACCGCCGACTTTATGTCCACAAATGAGTATCTCGGTTACGCCCGAAATTTACTTGTTTTCATTTGAAACTGCGAACTTAAAATGATAATTTCTTGGGAAATTGACCTAATCTCGAGAATCGAATACGTTGTATGGAGCAGTATGTAACTCCCGCAAGGCTGCTGAGTCTAAGTTACTCCTAAACAATTTATTTATATTTGGTTTGCCCAAATTCGAAAAATTTTTATATTCTTATCTAAATTATACTATATTCGCACGCCGTGAATAATATTTGTTAGCCAAAAATTTCTGTTAGAATTAACCGTGGCATTGAAAAATACGAAAATTGTTACAAATTATATTTTGAATCCTTTTGTCACATACAAACTAAATGTGGCACATTTTCTCTAATAAAACCATATTTTCATTCATTAAGTTTAATCTTTGTTTAAGTACCATGGAATTTGTGAAAATTACACACGCACACATAAACACATACATACGTATGTAAATATGTATATAATTCCCATTCACTTCATATGCTCGTTTGTATTAGAAACATGTTGTCAAAAAAGTTTGGTGGCTTGTTTCTCTATTTATGTGAATTAACATACGGATTTATTTTAATCTGTTGTACAAAAATAGTTTGCTAAATTAATTTGGAACTTTTGACTTTACTTAAGCTTGAAATAACCAAAACATTAAACGGACGGTATGCAATGTATCCTCTACAGACTTAATAACTTTAAGCTGTATTGAAGTAATTAAAACTAAAATTAAAATTTTATTTCTCCAATTAACTTTTTTATGTCTACTAGAATTCACATAAGCTTTCGCTACTTTGAACCATCAAATTTAGTAATAATTTTGGCTTCGGGGATTCTGCTGCACGAATAGTAAGGAGTTACCTAGAGGGTAGGACTCAACGTATAAGGGTACCGAATTTTCTGGTCTTAAATCTTTGTGTATTGGTATTCTCCAAGTCTCAATACAGGCACTCCCACTTTCAGCTGACAGTTTTAACAACTACAAATACACAGAGAAAATATGACCAACAACGAGCACCAAGAAGATTGTCTTTATGAAAAGTTTCTAGCCTAAGAGGTAAAAAGAAAAAAACTCAAAAAATTCCATTCCAAATTATTGATCTTATGTGGAAATTCTTATTAATATTGTTAATAGGAATATATTTTGAAAATCATAGTGAAAATCCACTTAAGTGCATCTGTAGAAAAATTTTAAATTTATGCCTTCTTGAGTTCTATGAAAAGTACTTCTTAATTTTATATGATGTCTTCTAGAATTCCTCTTCAATTAATATTATGAAATAGAATATTGTTGGTAAGGCGACCACCATTGCACTGTCGGTAGAGCTGTAAACTGTCATCCATAGGTTCTGGGTTCGAGGAAAAGAACCCAGAAAACGCCTTTCGTTTCGGTATAGGCACTATGTTCAGATTTTGTGGTTGTAATTTTTTGAGCATTATATGCTTTTTCCAGGTAAGTCTTCTATCTAGTGTCATCCCAAGGTATTTGACACTATCTTTTTGCGCTAGAGCCTTGCTGTTTATTTCTAGTGGTGGGCAAGTTTCTTTCTTCAAAGCAAATGTTGTCTGAACACACTTGCTTTCGTTAACCTTTACCCTCCAAGAACCTAGCCATAGCTCTAACTTTTTCGAATATTCTTGCAGCTTGCAAGAAGCCTCTTTAGAGTCTGAACTATTGCTTAGGATAGCTGTGTCATCAGCAAACGTTGAAATGGTTAGACTGTCACCACTTTGCAAATCACGAGTGTATATTACGTAAAATATGGGTCCTAGAACACTACCTTGAGGGACACCTTCATTTATAGGCTGACTTTCCGTTGAAATGGTTAGACTGTCACCAGTTTGCAAATCACGAGTGTATATTTCGTAAAATATGGGTCCTAGAACACTGCCTTGAGGGACACCTTCATTTATAGGCTGACTTTCCGTTCTAAAGGAATTCTGCCTGACTCTGAAGTTTCTCCCCAGCAGAAAGCTTTCCACAATTACGAGCGTATTTGCAAAGAGTGAAACCTTAAGTTGGTGTATAAGGCCATGATGCCAGACTTTGTCAAAAGCTTGAGGGATGTCTAGAAATACATCGATGCAGTATCGCTTCCCTTCGAAGGCTTTTCTAATACAAGAAACAATTCTATGAACTTGTTCTACAGTGCCATGTTTTTCACGAAAACCAAACTGGTGTGGTGGTGTTATTTGTTAATGAAGGTGCATTTATCCTTTTCAAAACGATGCATTTTCAATTTCTCTAGCCTCCGTTATGAAAATATGACTCTTCATAAAAAGTGGACTCAGCAGCTTTTCACTCTAAGCTAACGATATGTAAAAATAGTTTTAGTTTTTATAATTTTATAATTATTTTTGTACTAAGTATATGTAAAATAATCTTTAGATTTTATGTTACTAGTTAGTTTATTTAAAATTGAAAACTGAAGATAGGTGTGCGTAAATATGTATGTTTCACTTCAAAGAAAACTTTAATTTGCGACCAGCTACACTGGTGTAAATTTTTCTTGTAAACAAACAAAATCCTTGAGTAAAAGAATGAATGACATTAAGAAAAGCATTGCCAGAAATGAAATTACTGAAGTAAGATGAGAAAATTTCTGTAGCAAAAACAAAAGGACAAAAAACAAACGAACTTAATAAACAAAATGAAGTTAAAAGCGCAAAGGGAAATAAACGCTGACAGACATTCAAAGCAAAATAACTGTTTACTTACACAAAGTAACAATAAAATCAAATAAATTCTGGCGCATACATATTTGCTGATGGGCAGCTTGACAAGCTTGACGACAGCAGACAAGACAGCAACAAATAATGAAGCAAAGTGAAATGCTTAAGGCGCATTGTTTGTTGGTGTGCCAGGCGACATTGTTTGGTGGTGGTCGCTGGTATGGAGAAGTGCCTTATGAATGGTTGGTCGCGCTGTTCGGAAATAATTGTGGTACATAACCATTTGTATGTATTTATATATATACTTTAGTATGCAGAAGATAATATTGCTTAAGTTGCATATTAAGTTGGCTGTA